ACAACGGTCACTCTGGGATCAGGAATGGAACAGTATTGTCTTTAGTGACGAGTCTCGATTTTGTTTAGGCATGCACGATGGTCGTGCCAGGGTTAGAAGGCGACGTGGTGAAAGGAGGAATCCACAGTTTTTTGTTGAAAGACATGTTCATCACACTGTTGGAGTTATGGTTTGGGGTGCTATAGCTTATGGTTCCAGGTCACCTTTAATCTTCATCAGAGGTAACATGAACGCGCAGCGTTATATCCACGAAGTTCTAGAACCCCATCTTTTACCCTATCTTGACACCCTGGCAGATCCAACTTTCCAACAAGATAATGCCCGACCACATGTTGCAAGAGTCACAATAGACTTCTTTCAACATAATGATGTCACATTGTTACCATGGCCACCAAGATCTCCCGACTTATCCCCAATTGAGCACGTGTGGGATATGATGGGTAGGAGATTGCTCAATTTGCAACTTCCTCCTCAGACTCTAGAAGCACTTCGAGAGGAGTTGGTGGTTGCCTGGAATGAGATACCACAGGAGGACATTGACCACCTGATCAGAAGCATGCCTAGGCGCGTTGGAGAATGCGTAGCACATCAGGGTGCATCCACACATTATTGAAGGTCAAAGGGCTTTAAAGCAGTGCAATCATTATGAAATTTTTATCATTTACTTATTATGCTTCATTAAGTACTTATACAAAATTTTATTAAAATAAAACCATTTAAACTGGGTGTTCGGATTTATATGTCACTTAGTATACATAGATACTTGCTGTGAAGACAAAAATGTAATGTAGTAGTAAAAAAAAACTCATATGATATTACTGACTATTTTTTATTATTACTAAACTGTGTGGGAAAATTAAATCATTTATCTGGAATTGACAATGAACACTAAAATAATTTATATAGGCTGACGTGAAGCTAACTTCAGTATTATGGTCAGTTCTCTTATTATATATACCGCTATGCCAAGGATGAAAAAGCTTTGTAGTTTCTGGAAAATGGTCCAGTGGCGGCAGAAAAAAATACCAAGAACGAAAAATAGTAAAATCGCTCAAACTTTGTTTTTTGACTTTTCAAAGGATCCTGATCGTTTTTATTACTTGGAGTTTTTTAAAAATTAGGGAGTGGGAAGAATATATTACAATTTTTCGATGTTAATAAATTAATACACTTTTAGCCCCGGTATTTCTTCGTATATTTCAACAAGCGTCTCTGCATCTGCTCTTTATTTTTACCGGCCGGCGTACCGGTTTTGGTCAGTGTCCTCGCATGACTGACGCTGAGTCGCACTGCCGCGTATGACGCATCGTACGATCAAGTATTGGGAAGAGGCGACGTTGCTACGGATAGGGCAGGTAAAGAACCTCTATGGACTTGTTTGACGGACTTGATCCATTTAATTTATCTGATTTACATATTCGTAGCTAACTTCTGTCTCGGAGAGTCTAACTGAAACATGCTGTTTTCGTCCGTCCGACCAAAAAGGCACCCAACCATGGATAGCTGCTTTGTTCTTTTGGTAACTCATCAACATCATGGTCTAGGTCTGGCCTCTGGGACAATTAACACAAGCATAGCCACAATCCAGGATATACGGTCTATGGCGCAGTCTTATTTCGAAATGGTTTAACTCTAACCTATGTTAAACATAATCCTCTATGAACTAATGTGTGAGAAGTGCAGGGTCAACCTTCTTGAACCTAATTTTTTCATTGTTTTCACAGTTTACAACGCAACATGTATACTGTATAGTGACCCATTTCGAGAGTTTGAGAGTTTTTATATTGAAATATTTAACAAGTTTAATGTGAAATTGTATGGAATATAGCAATTAGGCACATGTCAATACCGATCTTTGCAATATCACACGCTGCGATCGTTTTAACTTAGCGAATAAAAGCTTCGAAGACCCAAGTTTATCTCTCGTCAACATGTCGCAACAAGTGGTCGTTATTAATAAAATCCTTCATAATAATTCTGCAAGCGACTTCCCATCCCAGCGGACTCATTGAGAAAATAGCCGAGCATTAAAATGATAAGACATAATTCATTAATCCACTATAGCATCCTGTATGTTGCAAAACGACCACACACTCCATGCACACGTCTTACAGCGATGAAGTTTTGCGCTTGTGAATGCGTAATAAATGTTTCAAAATTGTAGCCAGTGCAGGCATATCTTATCATAATTTATCATCATCGGGTGTAATAATTAACTTTTTCTTTGTTTTCATATTTCGTTTCCGGAATTTCGTGATGTCTTCGCCTCCTTGATTTTATTTTTTCGTGTTTTATGTTCAACGATTGTGGCATAAGCTCCGTTGCGACTGTACTTTCTGTCTGACACACTGGAACTTCTAACTAGAAGTAACATGAGTGTATCAGTGTACAAAATGTTTGATATTTACAACTGAAAGATAAAGTTTAGCAATTATCACCTTATGTCCAAAGATGCGATTTTATGCAGAAGGTGTTCTGTTTTACATATATCAGTCAATTTTATCCCGACTCAAAAATAGTATTATGCCATTTCCAAAACTATGCTAATTTTGATTAATCTGACACTCAAGGAAAAAAGGAAAATCTTGAACATAGGATACTTCACAGTTTCAAAAGTACAAATCCTAAGTTCAAAATTTGTAAGGCAGAAATATGTCCTATTTCCGTATTGCTTGTGTCGAAATGTTTTGCGTCTGAGTTATCATACATTTAACCTTCTCGAAATTTGTAACGCAGAACGAGCTTACGTCGATCAGTAAGTTATTTCGATTCCTTATACATGTAAAAGATGTCAAACTTTCTCGGAAAAGTCTAAACAATTATAGATTTTGTTGCTTTTCAGCGAGAAAACATGAAATTTAAATCGAATAGAATAAGTAAAACCTGTTAGTGAATTAAAATCTGGCGATTTAGACCACCATCACCAATTTCTGGTTTCAAAACCTGTGTTCCTGCTATCAACAAGTAATAAAACTGGCTAGACGGTTATTAGGATTTTCAGGAAGGCACAAATTTTGAAAAAAGCTTTAATACTGTATTTGAGAACCGAAGCATTTTATACCTATTATGTAAATTATTCTTTTTAGGTTGAAGAGTCCTTGAAGAAATTCTTTGCGAAAATATAAACAATTTCTAATATTTATGGATTCTATACGCACGACAATCAAAAATAAGTCGCTCGTGAAAAAATGTATACACATACGTCCTACATGAATTATACGATATATCAAAATCGATAAGACGATGAGTGCCTTACCGCTATTTGTGCTACTAAGAAATTTGATTAGTATGAAAGTCATGACTTTATTAGCACGGTGATCTACTTTATCAATATAATAAACTATAGTAAGAATCTTAATATAATTCTACACTTTGCTCGTGCTACTTTAATTGCGATCATTTAGATCAGATTACGCGGAGCAATATACGAGGAATTATAGTCATTAAAACGTAACTATAGGTCTCCAGTATACTTAAATACTATTTTACTACGGTAACGCGTAAACGATAAGCTAGTTGTAGCACATGAAAATATTACTGTAATTTGAAAATAAAGTTCGTTAGCCAAAGTGCAACCAGTAATACAGACGTGCATTTAGAATTGCATAAGTAAATAGAAACCTGTGCTAGAAACTAGAGATTGGTCAATTATGAAATAGCGACTAACAAATTATAATACAGTCGAGTATCGTCACTCTCAAAGCCATAAACGGAATTTGCATAAATTAGGATTCAAAACCGTATTCAAATCTCACTTACGCTGCGTCAAAACATTGGATGCAGCTTCATCCAGTGGATATCAAAAATATAAACCGTGGATCTAAAAGACTTTTCATGAAGACTAGAGATAGGAGGTTAAGCTGTGCGAGAGATACATGTATTTGTATGTAGCCACTCCTCTCGCCAAGGATGGTGCGACTTTCGGAAGCTAGTGGACGTAGAACATGGCGCAGATCGTCCGCGTATTGAACAGTGTCAACATAACCTACCTCAATATGTATGTGCATATCAATCGTGTTTTGCCGTGCTTTGTAGGTTTAGTAATAGCTAATATTTTAACTTCTAAAAACTGTCAGAATTGGAGTTGCTTACAGTCATGATGACAGCAACAATAAAAATAGAAGGCGACGTGGTGAAAGAAGGAATCCACAGTTTTTTGTTGAAAGACATGTTCATCACACTGTTGGAGTTATGGTTTGGGGTGCTATAGCTTATGGTTCCAGGTCACCTTTAATCTTCATCAGAGGTAACATGAACGCGCAGCGTTATATCCACGAAGTTCTAGAACCCCATCTTTTACCCTATCTTGACACCCTGGCAGATCCAACTTTCCAACAAGATAATGCCTGACCACATGTTGCAAGAGTCACAATAGACTTCTTTCAACATAATGATGTCACATTGTTTCCATGGCCACCAAGATCTCCCGACTTATCCCCAATTGAGCACGTGTGGGATATGATGGCTAGGAGATTGCTCAATTTGCAACGTCCTCCTCAGACTCTAGAAGCACTTTGAGAGGAGTTGGTGGTTGCCTGGAATGAGATACCACAGGAGGACATTGACCACCTGATCAGAATCATGCCTAGGCGCGTTGGAGAATGCGTAGCACATCAGGGTGCATCCACACATTATTAAAGGTCAAAGGGCTTTAAAGCAGTGCAATCATTTTGAAATTTTTATCATTTACTTATTATGCTTCATTAAGTACTTATGCAAAATTTTATTAAAATAAAACCATTTAAACTAGGTTTTCGGATTTATATGTCACTTAGTATAAGAAACTCTAGTAAATCTGTAGAGATCTACTAAAAATCGGTGTGAATGGAAGCGAATCCAATTTTAAATTTAAAAGAGTTTTTATGTAATTCTGTAAAAACTGCTTTTAAACACACAGGAGTTTTCGTCAAAACAACGATGGTATCCGGTGCAGTGTCATAAAAGACTAATATCACTGTACTATATATCAATGGATGGCGTATTCGAGCAACCCATCTCTAGTGCAGTGACACGTGACGACAATCAAGCTGTCAAAAGAAGTTTGACAGGTAACCTAAAAGCTACCGGAATGAAGTCTCCAAACAAAAATAATCTTCCTTGAACTACCGAAATTTTTCGAAAACACTTTTTTTGTTAAATTTATGCAGATAGATATTCACCCATCCTCATAAATGAATTGAACAATGTCTGACTTAGTCGAACTTCTCTTTTTTGATACCTTCGCCCATGAAAACACAGAGGTTTGCTTTATGCTCAACAATTTGTTTGCCTTCTAACAAATTATATTTCAGGAGATAAACCTCGACTTGGTACAATTTCCAAAGCCTGTATTTGTAACCGAGGTCAGGATAATACCTCTAGGTGCAAGGGTTCAGGCAGACTTTCCAGGTGGTGTACGGCTTGGAGCAACCAATCCCAGCCAATTCCAAATTGAATTTTTTGTGAATGACTTGGCAAAACCTGGTGCAAGCACCTTTGAGACACTAGGAGGATTGGAATATGATCAGAATGGTTGTATCAACCTTCAGTGTGCTTCTGATGACACTGTTAGAAAGATACCAACTGATGGTTTAGTTTTAAAAGGTAAGCTTAAAAAACAGTAACATTTCAGATAGAAACTATTTTTTGTTTAGTTTTTCCATATTTTAGAAGTCGTGGAAAAGCGTAGCTTTGAATAGATATAGCATTTTCCTGGCAAGTTGGGCATTTGAAGCAAATTATAGCAAATCATATCTGGAATCGATATGGTTTCATTAATTAGATTACGGACATTATATTTATTAGACATGTTCTGAATGTTGGGTCTTGGGGAATTACAATGTTGTGAAATAGCCGTGAAAAAGTGGAAAGTAATTATGAGTAAGATACTTTTGGCACATTTGATAAGAAATTCCATAATGCCAACCTGCTCATGATGTTTATAAATACTGTTTGTAGTTGTCACAGTTCAATTCCCAACAACACAAGTTTGTGTTTAAGGTCTGCAACATTAACAGTTGTCAAAGCTTCCCACCTCTATAGTCCTGCAATCTGTGTCCTTAGCTCTTTGTATAAGATGTACAAACATGAGCAGGATACAGACATTTGGAAACCAGTACACTAACTGTAAACTTATGTCAACAAATTTGTTATTGCTTTAGCAGTGTAGAATTTTCAGTTTTTTCAAATCTGCTTCATAAACAGCTTCATTTGGCTACTCAATGCCTTGGTCGAGTACTTCTCAGCTAATCATCTGCTGTGTGCTATGGGGGAACTGCATTTTATATGGTAGGTTATAAGCTGTGTGAGTTTGAAAAGCATCCCAACTTTGAGAACATCCTGCATCTTGATATATATTTTTTCTTACAAATCTAAATTAGTCCTTTTAAGTGCATGGCTAATCAAATTTTACTTTTTTTAAAATGACTTACAGGATGGTATACAACAATAACATTAGCAGTCTATGGCACTTTGACAAATAACATCACAGAGCCTATCATTCAACCACCAGTAAACCCTGCTATTCCACAGCAACCAAACACTATAGTTGATGCCCAACAAATCTGTTCAGTCCCTACGAATATTGAACCAGAATGGCAACCACAAGAGGCCATGCAGCAGGTACCTATGGAGTACAATGCCCAGGTAAGATCTTACCAATCATAAATCATCCAGTTCTAAGAGCTTTTGAACTTTCACCAACATTGCTCATAAATCACTCAACCTCTTGTTTCAAATTTGTAGATGAAAGGACTTTTTATAACTTGGGAGTTAATTTCTGACAGCTCAGTTTTTATTATAATTTATTTTTTTCCAAAAGATGTACAAGAATCATCAGTATGATATAGACATGCTTAACTAAATTCAGGCATTTCTCTGTAATCTCTCTGTAATCTTTGTTGTCTTATGACAATAACCGCTGGCCTAGTCAAAATTTAAAGTTTATAAAGACTGTCCTGTTTTGGAAAGGTTTTCGAATGCAATACTATTTTGCAAGATACTTCATTACATTTTGATTTATATTGAGATGAGCAGCTGATCAGCAAGTGACATTTATGTTTTAAAGCATAGGCACCAATGAATCAGGACCATACTCAGTTCTGTTTATACCAAACACTGCTGTTTTTTTCATTTTATTTTAACTTGATTTGAAATACAGCCATGATCATTACCACATTGCTTGTACAACATTGTCTGCAGTACATGATACATGAATGGTCTCTTGAGTTGAATCTTTTTTACAGCCTGCAGTCCCATACCATCAACCTCATCAACCCCCATACATCCCTCAACCAGAGCAGCAGCCCTATCAGCCAGAGTTGATAGAATATTATGGGACCGTCAAAGATCCTCGAGGCTATCATCATCCACCAGAAGGTGATTGGGAGACAAAACCTCGACGAATTGATACTGATAGGGATAGGGATCGTGATCGAGACAGGGATAGAAACAGGGACTTGTCTTATCAGGTACGTATTAATGGTTTTTTCTTTTTCCTCTGGAAAGAGAACAATTATTTATTTGATACCTCCTGAATAACACAGATGTATATTCTCAAAAAATGGCAATAATACAACATATGTGTTTGGCAACAATTTGAGTTTTTAAAGCTTCTGCTGGAGTACTGGTAAAGCTATCCTATACTGAGCAAAATACAACCAGCAATCTGGCAGATATTAATAATAATAATAATATTCTTTATTCCTAGCAAAATTTTAATAGAAAAACATAGGCAACGTCAAATAAAAGCAAAAATACCATAATAAACAACACCCAGGCACCATAAGTAGGTAACTTAAAAAATGTCACAAATGCATATATGAAAAAATAAATAAAAAATACAAATGTAAAATTGTATGTTACAAATAAATTATCAAAAATTATACAAGGGTAACTGTCCAAAATTAAATTTTGTTGTGCATGTATACAATATTAAAAACTGTTAAAATGACAAACACAAGTCCAGTGTGCTAAAAATTAACTTGAAATGTTATTAAAATAAAATGATACAGCTCACATGTTAAATTCAAAGCTGTACGAACATTTGTCCAGCAAAAACTTGTTCACCACTGTTTTAAACCTTATAGGGTTGCTCTGAGATTTAATATCGATAGGAAGCATATTATAAGTTTTAACAGCCATGTATAGTGGAGCCTTCTTATAAGATGTGGACGAATGTGCAGGCACACTCAGATTGTCTCTCCCTCTGGTCACAATGGTCATACTTTCAGCATAACAATGTGCGTTACTATTATAAATAAAAATATAATATTTATTTTAGTTAATAATAAATATTTTCATCGATTTTTGGAGATGAGGGCCTTCCTCTTCATGGTTCATCTTCAATAGACTCTCTCCCTTCTGAAAATGTCAGTCTCATTACTTCATTCAGAGACCTCGTATGTTAAATGCCAAAATAACAGTGTCAATCTGATGGAGGTTGCAAGGTCTAAACTACTGCATTTCTTACTATTCACCATGCCTAACTTACCATCCGGCAGCTCACCACAGCAACACTTGATCGATGTGTAGGTTACTGTCAACATATTATCATTGAAATCAATGATGCTCCACTTTTCCAGTTTGTCATTTCTCTTTTGAGGGTGGTCCAATACCATTGCTTCAGCACAGAATCTGGTAAAATGAAGGAAAAATGCTCAGATAGTCACAGTAAGGAAAGAGTAGTGTAGATCTGACAACTTCCGTTAAATTAACAATTTACTTTCCGCGCCAATTGGCAAGGAATTATTTTAATCGCGAAAAAAAGAATCGATAATTAGATATTACGTTTTTTTTTTTTTTGTGTCACAATATGTGAATCATGAAAAATCATGTCGATGAGTTTAATCCATGACTTCAGTAGAATCTGGACAGTACCCCTTGAATTTTGAAGAAATTGTGGCATAAAGTTACTCCTACGCCAAAAACGAAAGAGCTTTGTTGATTTTTAAAACTTTTCGAGTGGTGGCAGACCTACGGGAAAAAAAACTAAATAAAGATCTCTCATACATCATTTTTTAAAGTTTAGAGATTCCTAATTTTCAGAAAGATGCTTGGGGGTTAAAAATTTGGGGTTTAGCTTTGTTGTAGGGGGTGTTGTAAACGTTGGTATCAGCAAAAGAAGTCCAATTATTTAAAAGCTTCTGATCTCCGTAATACTACGCATTTGTAAGATATAATACTCATGCAATTTTTTTATAACGCTGGTAAGTTCAAATCACAGTACAGATTAACACGTCTCTAGTAGCCGGTGCGACCTCTCGATTATGACTGTTCAGTCCGACCAACCAAATTGCCAGACTAGCCAGTATCACTCGTCAATATCTCCATGGTCCAGGATTGGTCTTGTTTCCTCACTGCTGGTACTCCTTGTGATACGTATGTTTTTTTTTATAAACCGAGCATAATCGAGTTGATACTATTGCGTGGGAAGTACAGAGTCAGCCTGTTTGACACTATTTTATTAGTAGTTTGGCATTTATGTAACCTCACTTGATTTGCCAGGTTGCCAGCTGTATTTTCGTCTACATAGAATTGCGATACTAGCGCGCTATCACCCGTTGTATATGGCTGATTCGATATCAGATTTGTATAAACAAAAAATTCTCCTTTTCAGAAAACTGGAAACGGAGATAGGGAGCACATAGACAGGAGAGAGAAGAGATACTCTCGTTCCGGAAGTCATGACAGAGACAGGCACCCTCACACCTACCGAGAAGATAGAGGCGAACACGAACATGAATGGTCTGAACATGATCGACAAGAATATCACGACCGACCTGAACATGAATGGTCTGAAAGAGATAGGGAACGCGAGAGAGACAGGGATCGAGAAAGAGGGCATGATAGGGATAGGGAACGAGGTAAGTTATACTAAATTATTTTACAGGGTGTTTGAGCAAGTCCGTCCCTGTCTAACTAGTATTAATTATGCTAAGCTACTATGATGCGCAGTTAATCACATTGAATGCTTCCAAAGCCATGATGAACAAAATGCAACAAAGCGAACTGTTTCGATGAATGGCCGAGTACTGCCAAGGAGTCATTCATTTTGTCTGGCAAAGGTTGGGCTATTTGGTTAGCACCAAGAAGTAGTTTTTCCTCACGCAACGTCCTCACTCTATATGGGGTCCATACAAGATTCAGCGTTGAGTGCTGCTCATACGTGTATGGTGCTACGGGTCCGACTACTAGATTTTGTTTAGTGGAGGGCTGTCCAACTGATCGATGAAACTTCTTTAACGAACGATTTTTTTATTTTTCACACCCACAAGTGCTCGGCGATCTAGCTCCTTTCTAACTCTATGCCAACGCTCCTCAGAGCTCTTATTCATGATGCTGCCGCGCGATTTGCCTGTTAGATGGCTTCTGCCTCTCATCCTTACACTGTCGAACTGTATGCATCCACAACTACCCGGTACGACAGCACATTGTTCCTAGGGAATTAAGATTGTGAAACAGTCTGCCTAAGGAGGACACTCCCAGTTCTATCAACCTTAGGAATATTTTTTTAGGCAATAATTGCGATTTATTATCATTTAATATAGTGTAACATCTGAAACTTATCGTGTGGCTTCCATGTTAATAATCCCCCATATCTGCTCGATTAAACCACATACTCAAGTACCATCGTACTTGAAGAAGAACGGAAACGTCGAACACTAAAGAAGAATTTTACACATATATGTGTTTCGCGCGTTCTACCACCTGGCAAAAACCGCGTGTAAAAGCACGACCTGATTGCATGACAAAAATCATTTGAGAGGTATGACAGGTCCCTTCTCTGCGAAAATGGAGGATTGTGAGAAAAATGTTTTGCTGAGTACTTTATATTCCTTATCGGCCCACGATATGACTGAAACTGACCATTACAAAACTTTCTGCCCATCGAGACGATTTATCAAGACATTTTAATGTAAAACATACTACAAATTCAGCCAATTCCACTGAAGACCCTTCTGCCTATGTTTTTTGTCATCTCCTTTAGACTGGATCTCTTTTGTATTTGCAGGTGAAAGATGTTACAAACACGATGAAAATTACCGAAGATCCTACAGCCACGACGAACGAATCAGAGAAAGAGAGCGAGAAAGAGACGAAAGAAAAAGACCTAGGACACCACCTGCTCAATCTCCAAAAAGACCACATACCCCGCACGTTGTTGAACTCAAGGAAGCGGTGCCTTCAGAAGAGACTGCACAAATAGAACCAGAAATTGCAGACGAACCAAACAGTCCACAAGGTGAAACGAAAGAAGCTAGAACTTCACCTAATGAAGAAAGCAATCAACTATCTGTTGAAGAGTTTGAGCCTATACTGAGTGATGAAGATATACTGGACGACATGGAACATTACCAAGATGTCGACTATGATTATACTGCTTATACAAATAATGATGACATCATAAAGCTGTTTACACCAGGTGTCACAGAATTGAAGAAGTACCAAAAAGCTAAGAATTTTTCTGTTGAGAATAATGCTTTGATAATCGACGAATCTCTGCAAGTAGCTATTGGTATAGCTGATGATTACTTCAAATCAAGCATCACAAAGTATGAGTTGGAGACATTCAGCAAACTAAATACTGAGATAAAAGAAGAGTTTATACACCTATGTGAAAAGCTTACAACAACTATAGGAGCTCCGACTGTGTTTTGTGATATCGCCAAATTGTACGTCATCACAAAATCTATGAATCCTCAGAATTTGAGTGCTGACGACAAGGAGATAGCCGAACAAGTGGATTTTGTGATGATAACGCTCACCGATTGGCTGAAAATCGCATTGAATTACGAAATGGCCAATCTCCAAGACCAACCAGCGTACAAAATCAGGCACATAAAGTGCGGAGTCAAGTTATGCATTTGGTGTTGCAAGAGTTTAGAATATATCAAGTATTTGTGGCAGAATAAGTTTAATATACACAAAGAATTGCTGCATTTATTCCAGCAGGATTTTATGGCACTTTCTATAAAGCTAATGATTTTAAATGCCTTAGATACCTACCTGCAACACAAATATGCCGTGGAGAAATTTCTCTTTGGCGATCTTAACGATTCTTTAAAAGAAAATGGATACTACGACTTAGTGCCAGATTCTGTGAACAGTGGATATAAGGTACTAGTCAAATATATGCAACAAAATCCTCTTGTGCGTACGAAATTTGCTCTGGCCTCTATTTTGAAAAAACTAAATCTCTATGAAGTATTGCATAAGATGCATAGTATCTTGTTGAATTTGAGATACAATTCACAAGATATTTCTACAGAAGATATCAATTTAATAACAAAATCGTTGAGTGAAATATTGAACTACTGTAAAGTAGGACCGTTCATACTAACGCAACCTAAGAGGTTCCTCCCCGTATCTTCGCAGTTTGAAATTTTGAGGAATGATATTCATGAGGTCTTGGTAGAATATTTCAAGATGTTTAACCTGTTGCAATGTTTCGTATTACTGCTGACATATCCAAGTACTTTGAATTTACCTTTGATCAAGACTCCAATCTTCGAAATAGTGTCACTTCTCCTTCAGAATAATGAAGGATTGCAGTATATCTCAGACAACATTGAAGCTGTCAACATTTTGCTGAAATGTCTATTAAGGACAGCTGAGGAGGAAGATTATACAATGCAAGAGTGCTTGGAAATCAAGTCACATCATTTGGGACTCAAAATAGCGTACAAACTTCAAGCATTGTACCATATCGAATATCTGTTGGACAATGGGAAGAAATTGAACATGGATTGTGACTCTTTCGAGATAATAGATCACTTGCACGGACTAGTTTGCTTGACATTCTCTCATATAGGAAAAGTAGCTTGTGCTGAAATACTTGGTTTGACGAACTACATTGACTCGGTTTTGCAGTTCGTTGAATTTTTATTTACAAAGGAAAAACCAGACTCTTTGGCTGCAAAAATAAGCAAATCCACAGGCATAGCTTACATCATAGACCTCATTGTATTTGCAATCACAATAGTGCCAAATGTGCAACTTATGGAAAGGCATACGAAGATTCTCTTCCAAATACTAAGTCAACAAAATCTGTTTGAAGAGAGCGTGGGAAGTAAATTAAACGAAATACGTCCATATATGGTTCCATTTGAGAATGTCACCACCCTCACTTACGATGATATATCTCCTTTCGTAACGATTGCCAAAAAGTATTCGGAAACGTTTCCGTATGACATTGGTGCTGTGATCACAAGCCTCAGGGTGATCCGTCATCTGGGGATCTCAAAGTATGGCGATCACTCAAACTCTCCGTTAGCAAATTACGTCGAACTGAAATACAAGCATGTTATTCTACAATTATTTTCTTTGGATGGATCGAGTATACTGTCGAAACTTCTGCAGAAGATTTGTGACTACTATGAACAGCCTACAGTGCATTCACACGTGTTCGTGTCAAATTTCGGTTGGCAGATACTCAATATCATAGATCCAGCTGTCGTTTTGTTAAAACAGATGCTTGCTTATGTTATACAATGCCAAAACACGAAATTCAAAGACCTGACGACGATACCAGTATTGCTCCAAACTTATACTTTGCTTGATAGCTTTCCTAACACAGCCGCAGGTTATCATTTAGCGCAAGAGGTTAAATCTAACATCATTGAAACACTGTTGGTGTACACACAGCCAATGTCAGAAGAAGTTAGCGAGAAGGATTCTTTAACAAAGACGCTCTGGACACAAATGACAGGGGAGGTGATAAAATACATCACTTCTTCACCTCATACTTTTATCTCCGGACTTCTGATATTCTCTGAGCTTTTGCCTTTGCCGCTACCCGTACAAACTAGCGATGAATTGTCGAAGGACGAACTATCCTGGATAATAAATTTGAGACGGCTCTGGTCAGCACACTTACATCCACATAGTAACCTCATTCAGGATATGGTGAATAAGCTGTGTATCTCTACGCAACCTGAGCTTCTGAATCTCCTGAGACGAATATGCGTTCAACTGTCTGACTTGGCAGCGAATTCTGCGTTGATGGTGGCCAGAGGTACGTAGTAAGGTTTTATAAATGAATAAAATATTTGGTCTTGCTTATGTCGTGGCCATATCGTAAATTTGACCATTGAATGAAATTTGACCATGTCTTCAAATCATCAACGTTTAACGGTTTGATCATCCTCGATTGATTATATAATCAGTGATGTTATAAGAGTTACACCCAGACAAAATAATGTCTTCAACTTGTTTTTTTGGCAACATAATGACTATATTTAACGCATGCTGTGGCAACAATGTCATACTTTTATCTTTGATTTTGTTTAACTTTGTTGAAATGTTCTCTTAGTTTTTCTGAAGAAAGCAGTTTCTGAGAGCTGGGTAGTACAGATATTTTTAGTTATTGCAATTTCATTTACTAGTGTTAAGCATAACAAACTGCCTCGAGTTCGAAGACGTTTAAACTATCACCATGTTAGCGACTTTGACAGGGGTAGAATTATTGCCTATCGAGATGTTGGTAGTCATATCGCGAAATTGGCCGCCGTGTTAATTATACTGAAATGACTTTAATGGGTGTGTGGCGTGTGTGGAAAGAAGGTAGAGGAACCCGAAGCAGGCCAACTGGTCCACCGAGGCGTACCACCAACATCCAATGGTTTGGGGAAAGTAGACCTGTTACTATGCGTACACTCTTATCGCCGCATTCGAGCCTTTGGACTTTTTTCACACCGTTCACGGGTAGTGCTTCCTCTGATTTTGGACCACTGTCATCGAAGTTTGAACTGGGACAGAGAACGGCAACATTGGGAGGCAGAAAGGAGAACGGGGTGATATTGGGTTTGCTGTTGAGAGGCATGTATACAGGACTGTTGTGTGTGTTGACTATGGTAGCCGACCGCCCCTTCTCTTTGTTCAAGGCAATATAACTGCTGCGCGTTATGTTGATGATGTTCTACAAACGACTTTACTGCTGTATCTAGATGGCTGTCCACACGTCCTTTTCCAGCAAGACAACGCACGTCCTCATATTCCTCGTCGTACTAGGGACTTCAAGAAGCAGACGTTAATGTTTTGCCGTGGCCACCCCATTCACCGGATTTAAATCCCATCGAACATGTGTGGGATATGATGGGGAGGAAACTATCCACTTTGCGTCATCCGCCACAGACTCTGCCACGGCTAATCCACGAAGTTTGAGTTGCTTGGAATGAGGTGCTGTGGCAAACATCGATCATCTCATTTTTTCGATGCCTAGACGTATACAGCAGTGTATTCAGCTGCGGGGTCCCCCAACACATTATTAATTTTTTTCTTGTTACTTGTCAATAAAATTTCGTGATAATCCTTGATGTAAGACTATCTCATTGCCAAAAAATCAAGTTGAAGAAATTGTTTTTTTCTGGGTGTAACACTTCTAATGTCACTGAGTGTATCTTAAAATAGGGTATCCATAGAATACTTGATAAAAATCTAGAATATGTTACGAACTAGTTTATTGTTCTTTAAGTACGACAGCCACTTTCATTAAAACTAGCAACTTTAGGAAATTATAATAAAACAATTATATTAAAATATCTTTAAATTGCACCACGTGTCACAAATAAAATTTTTGAACATATTAGATATCACATATTAAGTTGTTACCTCGTGTGGTCACCATATTCCCCTTTATTTGACGTATAACCTTAAAATGAATTAAAAATTAGGATCAGTTTTACATACATAGAATAATACAGTAGTTCAATAGACAAATACAATATTTTAGCTAGAACGCTATTTTGACATCAAATAAACGAATGATAATGTAATGAGTGAAGTATTAACCTGTAAAACATGTTCCGAATTCCACGGCATTTTGACTTTTTGATCAGTAGACTGACAAGCAATTTTGGTTAACCACAAAAGGTCATCGCTACCAACGACATAACGAGCGAACGTCCTGCAAGAGCTGCTCTATCCTGCTTTGTTTTATAGACCGAATCAGTGGTTCCTTTACGTATGTTGCGTGGTCAAAGCAACACGGTGTAAACAGGTAGCAAAAATCGGTAATAATCATTTAACCCGTTGACTACCTACAGTGTATACATTGGCTCTGTTGTTTAAGTTTAACAAATCTGGCTTTCGTCGACTTTGTGTCACAATATTTATATCTTTGACACACTAGAACGTATCAGAGAGGCTCTCAAAGTAAAAAGTTAGTTGTCACGTCAAATATTGTTTGTTAATCGTGCATTGGCAGCTGAATCAAAAAATTATCAAATCAGATTCCAACTTTCTTGCATGTTTCTGTTTCTGGTGATTTTGGGCATGGTCAACAAATACTCTAAAAGCCTTTTAGGGTGAAATTGTTGAACATTTCAATTTTTTTTAATTTTGGAGTGGCTGCGCTTCGTTGTCAAAGATGGCATGATTTGAGATAAAAAATCGCAAAATTTGTGTAGGCAGAAAAACATCTTGAGATTGTGAGCTTCTTATTACAGGCATTCTGGATAACGTGTACAACGCTCTAATGCCTAAAGAAGAAGGAAATGTGCTTCCTTGTAGTGGTCATACCGTGAGGCTGCTCAATTTTCTGGCATGCTTGGTGACACATAGTGCAATCAAATGCGCAGTACTTCATTTGATACACACCAATAGCACTGTGACCTTGAAAACAGAAGAGAAGTATGCTTCATTGATACCAACTTTTGCCCAGGTTAGTTAACTGCACTGTATAGTGGTAAACCAATTATTAAATACAGAAATGTATTATTAGGTTGTTCGGAAAGTTCTTGTGGTTTTTGTCATTTATATTTTAAATGATGTATTTTACACTACAATTTATATATAATACTTTGAACTTATCTGTCATGTTAAAGCGCGTTTTTCGCTCTATCTAGTCGTTGTATTCGATTTGTTTTATTATCATTTTTTTACACACCTCTCGCCCACCGACTTTCAAACACCTCGAAAACTCCCTTCGCAAGAAATGCTTTAATAACCATGACGATGCCAAAAATGCCTTCAATGCGTTCATCGCCTCCAGAACTCAGGATTTCTACGTTAGCGGCATAAATAAACTAATGGTTTTTATTTTGATTAGTAAAGTGTTGTTAAAGCTGAGATATGCTCCTTTAAATTTGAAAGGTAAAACCGCAAAGACTTTCCGAACAACCTAATAGTAACGCACCCAGAGAGCGTTAAATTGACATTTTTTATGGCATCTAATATATATTTTTTACGCAGGTGTTGAAAACAAAGGATGTTTCATCATACCACATTCAAGCACAAGAATGTATACTGAGCATCATACAAAGCTTTTGTGATATAGAAATAACTTTAATGCAGAATGCACCAACTGAAAATGGTCAGCTTACTTCAGAACAGTATTTAGCCAACGCCTTACCGGTCAAAGATCATCTATTGATGTTTATCCATATGATGTGGGAGCACTTATCTAACGACAACTCGTTCGTTACTTATTTGCCGATAGTAAGGACGTTACTTCTCCTGACTGAACATGACTACGGATTCTACCATTTGAAAGAGTATCTGTTTAAAAAGAGCGACGTCTTTGTGAACCTCTTGAATAAATTAGTAAATAATTTTTCAAAAGACAGCGGCGAATATCTTTCCACGTTGAATACTTTTGTGGAGTTCCTACGGGTGTGCGTCAGTACAGATGAGGAAACAGATTCGAATTTGTTGTATACTCCAAGGAAAACCAAACTGTCTCTGGGAGAGATGAAAGGGTTGATTGCATGGCCAGTGACTGGGAAACCTGAAGTCCATCCTTTGCAAACCCTGGAGAAATTACTCAAGGTAAGAACATAAAGATTGTTACGTTACAATTGTTTTTCTTGTCTCGGGTTTCAACCGATAGGGCTCGCGTAGAAAAATTAGCAGAATGCTATCCAGTATAAACTTTTATATCATTCTTGACAAAGGAGCGTTTAAAACGAAATTCCGATTTACACCTTGGCAACACAACCCTATATTTGCTACCCCTTGCCCTCTTCTTATTCCTCACTTTTTTGTATCTGGAAAACATACCAGACAGACAGAATAAAGGTTTGACAAGCAATGAAGAATCATTAAAAAAACAGTCAGTATTTTGTCAGAAACTTTCTATTCCAAACACCCAAAGGGTATCAATAGATTCAACTACATCGTTTTTTTGTAGGAAGCTGTGGAGGAAAACAAAAGCTTTGAGAGTTTCCTAGAAGGTGTCTCAGCCCTCCTCAAGTTGCTCGAAGAAGAATCATCTCAGGAAGAACACGTTGAAATACCTATTGATACAACGATACCAGCACCAGATCCGTTGTTGTTACAGTTTTCTTGTAGAGCTGTAACCAGTTCAGCAGATGCATGTGATGAAAGACTGACTTCAAGGTATTGGTTAGCAGTTCCTGCAGATGAAACTGATCAAGACCAGGAAAATGTAAGCCTTGTTAACAAAAAACCGTTGTAAGGTAGTAACATATTTTACAATGAATTTTGGTAATTTTTAGGTTCTCTGTGACCTTCTGGAAATATGTAGGCAATGCATCAGGCCAGAGTTCAATATTGTTAAAGAAGTTGAACGAGTTTGTAGGATATCAATTTCTGATAATCCTGATGACAAAGAGAAGAATTTGGATGCTGACAGCATGAAGATGAAAAAACCATTTGGTAAGTAGGGGATATTTAAAGAAAAACATGAGGATTTTTGTAATAAATTTTAAATACCCTTTCGTTTCTCATCTCATCTTTTCCGTCACGATTTTTGTCGCATTTCTTTCTTTAAGGTGGACACCATCAAGTTATAGTTATTCTCATAAGGCGTAAAAATGGTAAAAACTAAACAGTCGTGATAACTTATATGTAATTAATATTGTGCTGTATTTCTTTTTTAACTTGTTTTATTAATACTCCAACCTGTATATATAATTCGTTATAGCATAATATTCACTTATACATAAATTAATTCGTTAGACTCCCTTCAATAAAAAATTAATTGAAAAAAACTGGAACTATGAAGGACAAAAATATATAGACAAAACAAAACAATTATAGAAAAAAAAAGCAAAGTTCATTGAATTATAGAAAACCAACCATGTTTGTGTTAATATTTTGTAGCATAACCATTAATATCAATCACCGTCTGGCATCGTCTCGGCATAGATTATAGAAGTTTCTTGATATAAGTTCATCCTTGTTTGAATAATTTTTATCTCGTATTTGCTTATCTAAGTATTCCCATAGATTTTCAATGGGGTTTATATCGGGAGACTGTGAAGGCCATTTGAGGACTGGTATTTTTTCATCCAGAAAGAATTTCTTTGCGAGATTTGAAGTGTGCTTCGGGTCATTATCTTGCTGGAAGATTGATCTTAAGGGTATATTGTCTTCCATATAGGGTAACATGACATGCTTTAGTATGTCTGTGTATACAAACTTATCCATAATGCCAACTATTTATTCTATGTAAAGGTCCCATCCCAAATCCCGAAAAGCACCCCCAAAACCATAACAGACCCGCCTCCATGTTTGACAGTGGGCAAAGTGTACTTGGGGTTCAATCTTTGTCCACTAGGACGTCTAACGTAATGAACACCATCTGATCCAAACATATTGAACTTTGATTCGTCACTGAAACATACCCTCTTCCAGTCACAGATGCTCCAATCAAAATGCAACCGTGCAAATTGTAATCGGTCCTTACGGTTTTTCCTCGAGATTAGCAGCTTCTTACTAAATAACTTTAAATCATTTAAGCTTCTACTTATAGTTTTCTTAGAAACATTGACAATTCCTTTTGTCTCGATGTCGGCTTTTATTTGTCTTGTGGTTTTAAACGGATCTTTGGACGAAATTACTTTATTATTCTAACTGATCTAGCATTTAGTTTTCTAGGCCGACCACTTCTCTTAGGGGCTTCCAAGATACCTTTTTGTTTATATTTGTTCAATATTGCCCAAACGCTTTACGCTTCAGCTTCAAATTTCTGGCAACTGTCGACTTGAATCTTTGTATAGCTCAATGATCTTAGTTTTCACATCTAAAGAAATTTCTGGACCACGCGGCATGGTCTTAAAATCACTCAACTTATTCCACAATACTTGTTTTTTTTTCTCGCTCTCGTAGCTGTTTGTGGGAAAGTAGAAAAGGTTAAAAATATCATTTTCCATTTTTAGGGTGTTCAAAAATAAGCAAGTGATTACTTAGAATTCATATATCTGGTTCGAAATAATATTTATGTATCAATGCCAAGTTCAAGGAGGATTACATATCAGATTACACTTTGCTATTATAACTTCAGGGTGTATGTAGCCATCATTTGGAAATTGTTACTGCAGCGATGTTATCTATATAAGAGAGAGAGTTTTTTCTTAAAAGTTCACACTATTTAATGTAATTACACTACACCTACCAGTATTGAAAGAATGTCCTTTTAAAGTTCAACTAAAATATCATTTTTTGAAATTGTGGTTCGGAAGAGTGGGTAGAGGGCAAGAGATACATATTCAGGATAGTTACAGATAGATGTATCCTCCTTTTACTTGTGCTTATTGCAAACATTTCTGTAGAATAAAATGGCTTTATAATTCTCCATCTGCAGACCTCAGAATCTCGCCTGTTCACATTCTCGTTTTCCTGGAATAAGTATATTCAATCAGCTGGTTCCACCATTTTGTCACGTCGGAAACCACCGTCGAAGTGTGATTTATAACTTTATGAAAACAAGTTATTCTCAAAACGTGTAAATTATCGCGGAATATTACACTTTTGACTTAGTAACAAAAAATTAATGTCTGCATAATATTCAATTTTGTTCTAACTACAAATTGCTTATTTGACCAATAGTCAGTGTATTTGACATGGTTACCGGTGATACCCTGAAAACCAAATTTTTCTTACGGCTTGAGTTCAATGTGTACGAGAGAGAAGTGTGTCTAGACACGTGTTAGAAAGAGAAAGAAGCCGCCTGGATAGCGAAGCTCATCCCCGCGTTGCCTACATAAAAATATGCGTTAATTTGTTCTCTATGCCCAACACACTTCTCGCGCCTGTCTCTTGTTCATATTGAACCGTCAGACAAATTTGGTTTTCCCTGTATTTTGATGGCATTTAGCTAGACTTCGCCGAGGAAAAAATTAAGACACCTTATTCAGGTATTTCTTTTGTTTCCAGTAACCCCAATGCGCGCCCGAGGCTTCGCCAGGTCGATGCCACCACCGCAGCGTACAGACGCATTCCGATCGCGACCCCCTAATACTTCTAGGCCCCCCTCGTTGCACGTTGATGACTTTGTGGCGTTGGAGACTTGTGGAGCACAGCCCACCGGCCCCACGGGGTACAACAAGATCAGTCGCGAGCTGCTCGCATCCACACGAATCGCTAGGGGGCCTCGTGGTAGGGCATTTGTTACTTCGGAGAGGACCATGCAGTACAGGCAGATGTAAGCAGCTACTAATTTTAAAACAGCCCTTTAGAAAGTGGTTACCTGCAGCATAGATACATGTTATCACACATTCTTACTAGGTGCTGCTCGTCTAACGACTTGATTCTCCCACCCCCTTTTACTAAAATCATACCACTTGGTGACTATCAAGCCACTGGTTGTCATTTCCACTCCTCATGCTGCTCAAGTTGTATAATATTTACTTATTTGTTTCAACTTACTAATATTTTTTTAATTCCAGCTTTTCCAATTTGGTTGCCAATAGTCTATTTGGCAATACTTGTTTTATCTAGAATTTGGAAGATAGTATTCAATTTTGATAGTCTGTTACACATGTATAGATAAAAATGCTTGAACTTGTATACACATATGTGGGTTTTAAAAATGTCGTGCAGTGTCAGAGTTATGGACAAAAGATAACCATTTCTGTTCTTTTGAAGCCAAATCATCCATTTCTGCATTCAGATCCTTTAGTAATTACTCTTCTGTTGAGGTAGCACTAAAGTACTTATATGGCTAATAATATTTTTTTTCAGGCCATGGTGGGGGGCTAGCATGGGCAGAGGACCATATTAAGTCAAAGCAAATGTTTCATTTTAGTTTGTATTTAGTTTTATGTTTATACATAACAATAAACGTGAATATTGACAAACTGCCTATGAATATCAATCCAAATATCCCACTGAATAGCATTATATACTCGGGAGGAGTATACTTCTCAAAGTAATTTTCTTCAATAGGAAGAATTGGAAGAACCATCAATAAGAAAAATAAATAACATAATATGCCTGATGCCAGAGTGATTTGAATTGTTCCTAAAGCTCTGTCTGGAATCATCATTCATCAAAATACTCTTCTTCAAACGTCTTAAAGTCCTCTTCTGTAAATACTGTTTTCTGGTTCTTGGTCTTCTTAGATCTCTTCTTAATGGGCCTTTTTGTAACTGCTCTTTCAACAATCTGAAAAATATTGATCTGATACAAAAAAACTCAATTCTACATCATAACAAATTACAAAACTTCACAGGTATTCTTGTTTTCAAAAACGCTTAGCATTTTCAAAGTAATAAGTAAATAGGATGTGGCTTTTTGCATTCCTTCAGATATGTCAGAGATATTTAATCATCATTTTGAAATTGGTACCTGTTTTTAAAACATGTATACCAATCAAGACTTTAACAAATAAAACTAAAGTATGCTATATTTTAATCAAATCAAGGATGGCATATATTTCACCTAGGGGTTTATCAGGTGATGAACCAAGGTCTTTTGGTTTAAGAGCCCATGACACAAAAACTCAAGAGAATCTGTTAGAAGGAAGGTCTCCCAAGTATAGTGTATGCGCAAGCATCAAGCAAATAAAATGTTTGGCAGGTTATGGTTTCCAGGGGTCTACTGGTGGGTCAATATGGGTCTGCCAAACAGATGGTCATGTCATTCATCTGTTAGAGCATTCTTTTGGGGAAACGTTAGAAACTGGCCTGCCAATGCTGAAGCATTCCCCGTTGGTTGAATTACCCCCCTTTTCACATTGCCCTTAGATGAGAAATCATCCCCACAAGTTAGAAGAAAAAATGAGAATATGTCACAGCTACGTTCCTCGTTTCTGCAATAATTAGCCAACTGTATGCTTGTATTTAAAGTAGTACATTTATAATCATTGTGGAGAGGAGGAATGTTGATACCTCTCGCTCTGCTATGCATTCTCTCCTCTAGTCAGCTGCAATTTAACTGTTGAGCTCATGCTGATCAATGTGGGAGCTTAGCTGATGAATTCTAGCAGCATGTAACTGAGTGAGTTTGAGTGCACTCAGTGGTGCATACTGTTATGTGGAGATATCGTCACAGCTGTATCAAATTCTCATACACAATGAGGATATCTGAAGTATACACTCATATAATTGGCTACAGCACGACCTATGACATCAACCTTTTCAAAGAGAGATTTCTAATTACTGTGGAGAGTATCTCATTTCTTCTTTGAACACCAAAATACAGTATTTGATTGGCTATCTTGAGGCAGGATATATTAATCACGTGTAAATTGACTTAATATTTGCATCTCTTACATGTATTCTAAAAAAATTGTGAGAACCCCACCTTAGCTACAGTTTCTCTGTCTAATTCTACTTTGCTAGCTTCCTTTATCAGCTGCAATTTCTTCAAGTTCTCCTTCAATATTTCTTGCTTGGGTTTCAGTTGCTTTCTAAGTTCAGCAACTGTTAGTTTTTTCTCACTTGATAGGAGTCCAATTTTAATTGTCTTTGCACCGCGCCTTTGAAATTTTTTTGTTAATTTATGATTTTGTGGGGCGATACTGAGAACATCTTTCTTCTTTTTCCTACTTTGCTCTAAAAATGAAATCAATTGAAGAAATCCCATGTTTGCAACAAGCCTCAATAAAAATACTTACTGTTTATATTATACTCTGGATCAACAATCTGTAAACTTTTGCGAACCAATGAGGCACTCATGTTTATATTATGTTTAAGAGATTTGCCGTCAACATATGTTATAGTTTAGTTTTAATACACGTTTTCTCAGATGGGATATCGCCAATCGCCATCAAAAATGTTTACAAATAATATTTCGAGGTTAACTGTCAGTACCGACAGTCACAAGGTATGCAACCACTTATACACTTTAGCCATTCATTGGTGACCTATAAACACCTATTTTCCTTAAAAGCAATTTGAATATTTTTGAACCCTCATTAACATTGTTTATACTTTTATCGTATGTTTACGTTACTCTGCAATAAATCTTTTATGTAACAGATTCTTTCATTATTTAGGAAATACCTCAGCAGGGGTATCTGATTGTATGTTGTAGTAGTACTCCCAAGCAGAGTAGATAAGACTGTTTATATCACATTTTTGTGAAATTAAGAACTTTGACCTTAGTCTGCCTGTCTACTTTGTATGTGAACTCTTGTATCAAAAATTCAGTTTTCTCTGAATCGGCAACTCATTAACACACAATAATGGCATCTCTGATAAGAAAAATTATTTCGTCATCTAAAGCACCAGGACCTGTGGCAGGGGCACCTTATAAGTGAGTATTACTTTCATGTAAAACTTGGTTATAATTGATCCGTTGATTGCTATTTGACAATTTTCTTTTCTTGCTTTCTACAGGGTGTTTCCTAATTTAATGTCATCAAAATATCCTTAATATGATGACACCTACCACCATACCTTTATTTATTTTTTTAGCAAAAACCGTTCATAGGATTGAAAAACCAAGTGATCAAATTTGCTTAGAAATGCCTTTAAATATATACTTGTTTCAATGTCTGCCAAAATAGGCACGTGAAATTTCGTACAGACGCCACTGGTGGAAATTAAAAAAAATGCAGTTCATTAAAAATGGCTTCTGATACATACTAGTAGTATCTTGTATATGTATGCCAAATTTCATTAAAACATCCAAAGTGGTATTAAAGATATATTAATAAGTAAAGCCTTAATATTTTTGAAAACTTTACCACTGTATCTCAAAAGTTAATTTTCTTTTTAAAATATTCAATTAACTATGGTATAAATATTGAATTGAATTGGGAAACATCCTGTATACAGTGCGACCAAAGTACGTGCGGACATAGTTCTTTGGTCAAGGTTCTTATTTCATCTTTTTTGTGCTTATCATAGAATATAAAACATATCCGATGTAATAATTTTACTACACCATATTTTTAATGCATAGAGCAACCTTCATGAGCACCGAAAAGTTTTCTGGAAGTAGGTATCATCACAAATCACAATTGATGCTCCCGTAGGTATCCTTTTGTTACTTGAAAATCACTTACGCCCTTATACGCACCTTATCTTATCGATGCGTTTAGCCGATTATAATCAAGTTATATCTATAAAATCTGTTAAAGATCATGCAGGTAGAAAAACCGTGATCCGCGACGAACCCTCATTAAACACGGAACAATTAATCCCAACCAATCATAAGAAGTTCATGTTTCCCAACTGGTCAAACTTTTCGCGCCAGTTTTGTTTTAGGCCAGTCAAATAAAGGTAATAGATACAGGTAAAATTCTCGCAAGAGCCAAAGGCGCTATTATAACATAATTTTCATTTATGGGCTTTTAGGATCGCAAAAGCGTTTCAAAAAATGAAATTACCGTGATTTTAAGATGTTGAAAAATGTTCGACCTCAAGTTTCTCTCATGCACATGTATGGATGTATAAAATCGGAATTGAAAATGACTTAAAGTCGACGTATCCCTTGAATCTAAAGCAATGGTGGAGTATGAAAATGAAAATTTCGATGGAATTTTGTTGGCGTCACTAAAATGCTTTTCAGAGTCTGTTTGATCTTCAGCTTAGACACTTACAAATTTGAAAAACATTGTTCTTTGAGTGAGTTCTTAAGCATTGAAATGGTCAATTTGTGGGTTTTTCAGACTTCAAATGGCGTATAGCTTCAATGCGGTCAACTTTACAACAAAGTCCCTTATTGTAAGAGCCAGTCCCATCAGAATGATCGAAAAAATCCAAAAAACTTTGTCCGGTAGGACTCCATTGTCTATCCACTGAATTAAAACTACGTAGGTTACAATTACTAATTTAGTAATTTAATCACTAATTCAATTACTAATTTAATTACCAATCTAATTACTAATTATTTATTTAATATTAATTTAACTACTAGTTTGATTAAGTGACGTGGTTTGACTTAGCGGCCAGAAAGTGCATGTATTCCTAACAGCATAAGATAACCACATGAAAGTTTCGAGTGTGAAAAGGTGTAGGTTATGATAACAAGATTTTTCTTTTTAGTCAAGCAATAGTCTTCAACAACATTGTCTTCTGTTCCGGCGTATTGGGCGTGGACAAAGACAGCAACAAACTAGTTGACGGAGGTGCCGAGGCCCAGGCAGTCCAAGCTTTGAAGAACATCGGACATATTCTGGAGGCGTCGGGATCTTCATACAACAATGTTATAAAAAGTACCATCATGCTGAGGGACATCAACGATTTCGGAACTGTAAATGAAGTTTACAGGAAATGTAAGTTATTTAATGTCATATTTTTTTCATCATGTGTTCAAAATATCTAATATATGCGTTGTCAAACTCCAAAACAGTCACACCTAGAATATACTCTGAAACGCCGAGGGTGACTGACGATTTTGATGAGTCTTCATAAAAATAGAGCAACGATTGATATTAAAGTGATGTTATTTTAACAATAATTCGACATGTAACAAAGGTTTTTTTACTTGAAAACGAAGTAAGATGCGAAGGGTTACTTAGAGACAAAAAAGTTGTATCATTAGTTGCTTAATCCAAAAAAAAATATTTTTTTATGAAGGCAGTCGCATACTTTATTTTGCAATATTATTCATGGGACTACTCCCGAAGCGTCAGTGAAATTCTTAATTATCTTCTAGCTAATACTATCTCAGTGCCTTATTGTATAAACAGCAATGTAAAACTTCAACAAAATTGGCGTAAAAATCTTGAGAGATTAATAAAATGACATTTTTTTAACATTGACACCCTGCATCTTGAAAACCAGGCTTTAGTGCCGGTGTGGATGGTTCTGAAAAGAGCGGCTGAAAAATGGAGTGATGTGATATCAACGCGACATTAAAACCATTCAGTCATCGTTTAACATGTCCGTAAGGGCACGGACATAGCTAACGAATTCAAATAGACTAGGAGTCAAGCCTATTTGTTTACATTGCGATGTTTGTCGCCAATATTATGTAGTCTTGGTGCATACTTATCGCTAATTTACCTACCATTGCCTACCATCGGCCTACATTCTTTTTTCTGGAAAGGATATTCAAGTTGCCAATCATACTGGCAGGACAAACACTATCTATGTTGCGATGTAAATCACTCAGTTATTTTTAATAAACAGGGAAAAATTATATAAGGTAAAGAAACGAAGGTAAATATTTATTGTCGGTACAACATAACGTATATGAACAATTCTGCTTAATTCGTGATTTTAGAAGGTGAACCCCATGAAACATTCTCTTTAATAAACATCAAGAATGGTGGAATACCTGATATTGGGAACAGTGCGACACCTTGCAGCGATTTTACTTTTTCTAAATAGTTGTTGTGATCCGAGCAGACTCTTGGCTAAAAGCAAATACCTTTTTGAGCATAATATGTTAATTCCTGCTATTATATCGTTGTCACTAAATTCATCCAATGAAGAGGTTTTGAAGTATTTTAATTAAATTGAGCGTAGAATCTCGTGGCGCTAAAATGAGATCGTAAACTTACCACTTATAATGCGAGAGTACCTCTTCAAAAAACTTTTAGATTCAAAATTAATGTAGATCGAGCAAAATTTTAATTTAATTTCGTGTGGCCATTTTCAGTATCCATTTGGTTTGTCGCTAATATTCTCCATTTATCAATGTTTTTGCTAGGTATACAATCCGGTTAACAATCCTATTAACAATCCTTAGATAGCGACTGAAACACGAAGTGAAATGAACTGAATCAAAATTACCTCACAACTGTAAAGATAAAAGCCCAATATTGCCTTTCGCAGTGCCCATAATTGTAATATAACACGTATCGATGAAAATATTTGCTGTTATTCGGTTTAAACCGCTTATTGAAATTCACAGAAACTTTTACCATTTTCGACAATTGTCTGGAACGCTAGGATTGTATGGAACCAACGCACTTTTATATGTTCTTGCAGAAAATTATGGAGTTAATGTGAAATGTCAAGCTGACGGCTTAAGCCTGATCAACTTGTAGTATGAACTTGCATCCTGACTACTGACTACGTAATTTTGATTACAAACACATCGTATACTTGCTGCTAGTAAAAACTGAATTCACCTAACTGTGCGTATCTCGCTGGTATGCTTATTGCCATCGTTACTAAGGCCGCCACCCGACGCAATTGAAAGTTATCCTCCAATGTGTGTTCATCAAAGTGCAACTATGACAGAGACAATGATACCACAATGTCCGTGCCCGAAGACTATGCTGTACGTTCTAATTTGGAACAAATGGTTGATCGTAATTGCATATTTCAGTTTTCACAAAGGAATTCCCAGCAAGGTCCACATTCCAAGTCGGAAAACTTCCCCTAGATGCAGCCGTTGAAATAGAGGTAATCGCTGCTGTGGGAAATAACATAGAAACCATCACCTCAAAAATTTAAGCTTTAATTATGAATATATAATTAACAGTCATAACCTTAATGCTAAAAATTTAAATGTATCGATGTATGTTTATATCTAAAATGTGATACCTATATATTTATAATAAAATTATCTCAGTGACAATGTCGTTATTATTTTGTTCCTTATTTACTATGTCTTATGAAAAGACAATAGTTTTGGAGCACATCTATGTGAAAAAATGGAAATGAGAACTTTCAGCTTTTGAAGCGCTTTTTTCAATAAATCCATCAAAATTATTATTTTTATAGCCAAGTGTTTTTGAAACATCTAGTATCTCAAGAATGAAGGTTTATGCTTAAAAGCACTGTTCAAGTGTTTTCTTTTTCTTCTCACGAGTTTGTGCTAGTTATACAATCATATGGTATATTTGCGAAATATCTTGTATAAAAATGTGGTATTTATATGCTAAAATTATTTTGATGGACGGACTATTATTTATCACATGTATTAACAAAATATATACTTTTCTGACATTCATCATTATCTATATAATAAAATTATCGCACCTTGCCAGTTGATCTACTCCGTTGGTGCAAATTTCGTAACTCTTGACGGCATTGAGAATAAGAGATAGCTCAAGGACCAACAAGGAGAATTAAAAATATATACTTCTGATTTAGATTATGTCACATAGTTATCAATCAATTATTTTCAGAGAATCCTTTATTTTCGGATCAACTCCGCGTCTGAACTTTTGCAAACGATTCTCATTCCTCATGTTGCTAAGTGTAAGCTGAGACTGAGAAAAAGTTTGTTATTCTGGGCAAATCAGACGCAAAGTTTTATCTAGGAACGTCGAATTTTCTAGAACCAGTGCCAGTTTCCAAAACAGGAATGGATCAGTTGTTTGATGTTCGTTTTGTAAGTTGGCTTTATTACTATAAGATTTTATTTTCGATAACATGTACAATTGATTTGCGTTCAGCACTGATATTTCAACCTCGATTATACAAAATTTCCAGCACTCTAAACAGCTACAAGTGTTTCAAAGTCGCCCCCATTGGGGCTTCGGAAACGGTAGGACATGGACATCAGAAGTCGGTTAAATCGGGACGGCATAGTAAAATGCCAATTACGACATCTTGTGCAGGATAGGAAGTTTGCAATGTTGATGCACCTTCTGTTTTGAAATCCTCTCTCAAATAAAGTCAGGAAAATCTAAATAACATTATAGGAAAATTCGGTTTTAGTTATCTATCTCCGGAAATACTTGGAATTAGAGAACTTTCTAGGTTCCACTTTATTCATTACCTAAATGCTTTTAACTGACTTGTATCTTCTGCCGTTTCCGAGATCCAAATGGTGAGAGTCGAATTTGAAACTCCAGGAAAATCCAAGTATATTTAATAACTCGATGGTATCAGCTTTGCCAGACTACCTGTAGGTGACTTTTCTCACCTATTTGGACACAACCTCATACCTATTTGCGCAACAGATATTGATAACTATTGGCAATCAGCGAAATCTCGATGATCCATAGATCTGTATTAATCTATCTGCTCTGCACTTGCAAATTTTTGAAATTCAAAGAAAATCTGATATTTATCTCAAATCATGCTTCATGAGAAGGATATCATACTACCGACCACAGCTTCTTATTGACCATTTCAACGAATAAGTTGGGATTATGCATAGTAATGAACTCATGGAAATAATATGGCTAAGTTAAGCAACCTATTATATAATATTGATTTACTAAAATTAATTAATATTATTAAAAATATTTATACATATGTACATTGATATTATTTTATCTAATAAAGATTCACAAAATCTTATCATAAAACCTCTGATTACAATATAAATCTGAAATCATCAATACATTTGTCAACGAGTAATTATTCAATCGTTGAGGCCCAGGCAAGGCAGCCTGAGAATTTTCAAGGTCTCTTGAATTTATTTATTTAATTTCATACTTCGACACATACTGACACAACAAAACCGAAAAATGCTAGTTTAGCCAGTACAGGGAACAACCCATTCCGATTGCTCTGATGCAAAAAGAATTAAAATAAACTGAACCTGAAATAACTTCGGAGTCTTGCAGAGATAGGTTAGAACTTCAATTTAGATACTTGACAATAGTTAGAGAATATCTGGATTGGGAATACACCAGCCGATGGATGTCTTGTACAATTTCGTGGCCAGCCCGTTCACTTGACTTAAATTCACTCCATTTTTTACTGAGTCGCTGAGAGAAAATTTATGAGCTGCGGGACAGAATAACGGAACCTGCTGAATTTGTTATTAATGGAAGATTTTCCCATCTGATACCCCGATCATTTTTAAGATGTCAAGCTTGCATTGCTGCCAAAGGAAGGCAGTTTGAACATTTATTGTGGATTTAATAAAAACATTCACGAATTAGTAAAACTCACGTTACTGTCTTGCTGTCACTACATAGAATGTCACTGTCCATCACTCCGTTCAAGAAAATTTTGAAACTTGTAATGGAAACTAAAAGATCACCGCGGGATGTAGCTGTTTCCGATTTTTACAGCCTTAGACTTTTTATATTTTTCTGATAACTACTATGACTTGGCCTATACCCCATTTCCGGCTTAACATCGGCATCTGAGACACCCCAGTTCAATTATCCCAACAACTAACGATGTTAGCCTAAGAGGAAGAAGTTCTTCGTAGTGTAATTTCCAGCTTTCTGTAGTTTTCAAAACATCATGGCCGTAACGAGTAATTTTCCTAAGCACATCACAAAAATTCTTTTTTTTCAATGCGGATAAAGCGTTTTAGATTTTTTGGACCATTCTGAAGAAAAAGGACCTTAGTAACTTTTCCTTAAAGTCGACCGCTTTCAAATTATGAGTGTTGTATGTAAAGAAGACAAAAATTGGGCATTTTCAATGCTTAAAAGCTTTTGAAGTTGCCAAGTGTTTAAATTGACATTCGAACCTCCTCCTATATGAGTTCAGAGTATTTTAGGCTTAATTTATTTTAAAGTAATTTTAACTTTGCTTGGTAGGCTAAGAAATAGGCAACTTTTTCAAGTACAAGTATTTTATACTGCTTCATGATGTATTTTCGTTAAAAATGGGGAAAAATTTGGGAAAAAAACATTAATTGTGAAAATTTATTACACAGTTTCCTATAAAATAATGCTCACAGCTTTTATGGACCATCCATAACTTTCATTTTACGGACAGATAAATATGCACCTTAGTAGAGAAGTAGCATCGCCTAATCCAAGAAAAAATTGAGAGAAGTTGTGTTGAGGGGCAATGGGTTACTTCCGCTATTCCTTTGTATCTACTACGGAATTGTTGTGTTTCGACATATCACAAAACAGGCTCAGATTTGGTTCAGAGGTAGATTATATAGTATCACAAGGTGTAACAGAGGAAAATAAACGGAAGCAGATACATCATACATTTTTTTTTGTCGAAGAGATATAGGAGATATCTCGGAAATGACTAGCGATGATATGCTTAAGCCCGATTCTACTAGTGACTCGTGTCAATCGAAACATTTTTGAAATAGAAATAAGAGAAAAGAAAGAGAAGATTTGTCTACGATGGCTCCTCAATCCTCATAATAAGTCAAGAGATATTTCATATATCACCTCGGTTAACCTACAAAAACATATTTATTAATTTGGCCCCGAATACAAAATTTATGATCCAGGCGATAACTCTACCAATCAAAAACAACGATTTGCGGTATAGTTGGAAATTTGACTAAACAAAAAGAAGTATTTTTGGCAAGCTCGAAACATGTATCGAACCTAATCAAATATGGTTTGAAAATAAGAGTGTCACTACTTACCTGAGAGAGACAATTACGGAAGAGATTTATATTTTTAACAATACTTTGAGATTAGCTAAAAAAGCTAATTTTTTCTGATTATGGGCTTATATTAGGTGAGTCAATGTAGATCAATGCTTTTTGTCCTGGTGTACATTTTGTAAAGTTCTGCTTAATGAATTTTGAAGACATCAATATAATTACAGAATGCTTATTCCTATCAATCATCGAGTAAATATTCAATCAATTATACTGTTGACGCCATCTACTGGACCGTTGAACGGTGACGAGGTACGATTAAAGGTTGATTAGTCGGTTCAGTAGATGTTTCCAGTGGTATCATTGGCTGTAAAATTGGCTCTAGATACGCGTTGACCATAAAAATAGTTGAAAAGAAACAGGGTTTTTCGCACTATAGTAAATTGAATCTTTATGTTTGTTAAAGAATACGTATTGTGTAATTTCATTTATGTCTTTAAAGTAGTATAATCGGGCCTTAGAAACGCAAAAATTTCGGAAAAGCGCTACCTGTCATTGCATAATTTCACCTGTTTACTTATATAACACCTTGTAAAAACTATTTATGCATTCAGTGGGCTAAGTTACAAATCATCCCATTTGATAGATAGAAGGGGGAGAAAATAGATGAATTTTTAATCGGTCGTTTTCGGTATTTTACGTTAACGTAGACATGGGATACTTCTGCAGCGCGCGCAACGACCTTCAATACGCCATATGTAATATAACAAAGCAAAATTTGTTAATTTGTGACACGGAATAGTTCTGCTCTGAGGTGAAGGAATATTACCTGTACGCAGAATGCACTCTAAGCTGAGTACGAAATAATTTTCGGAAATGCGGCTCTTATCGTTTAGCCTCTCTCATTTTCAAAGAAAATGAACCCACTATTTTCTATGGTGATTTTGCATGGCCACCACGGTTACCAGATTTGACACCTCAATATGGCTGAGTGAAATCTAACCTGCTCCAGCATGTTATGCAGAATGCGATGTCCAGGTTCCATGTAAGAAAATAACGTAATCAGTATAAAATGAAATCCGCGTATCTGGTACTTTAATAAAATACGTATGATAAAAATCTTTGCTGTTACACTTTGTGTAATACCTCATTTGATTCTGTTGAGCCTTAACCACCAAATTTGAGCCAATTTTGATAGGCTTGCGGTTTCAAGCTTGGCTTTTGGATGGAGCTGAATTAAAAAATAATTATTATCGATACAGTCACTAAATGAGATGTTATTATGTAGAGTCTGACGTTGGATTTGTGAAAAACACTCTCTCTCTTTCCGGCTCTGGCTCTGCCCTGAAATCCATTGCCTTGATCGTCTGTCTGAGCAGAATCGCGTCGGCAGCCGCCTCCCAAAAGGTCAAAGGTAGCCTGAAACGAAGAAAAATGCTTTTAATTTCCTTCGCGAAAGCGTATGCTGACAGGAAGTTCAATTTTCTTTCCACCGAAGATTTGAAATGCATTGTGTTCGCCTTAGATACGGGCAAATATGCAGTAACTTGTCAAGTACCATGAAGGTTTACGTTAAATGCACGCGATGGACTGGGTTATTTATGTAACCAGTTGTGAAATAGTCTTTTTTCAAAGAGTGAACCTGATGTTAAATGAAATACAGTCATATCTTAGAAAAAAAGATAGTTTTTAAAATGAATCCTCATCAATCCGTGTTCAACTGATGACTCCAATGAATCCAAGACGAACCAACAATGTTGAGAAAAAATACAGCAGCGGTGAGCAACGTTGCCCCGGTGTCCGGATTTGCGTGGGGGATTCCGATTTTCAGGGGTCTGGGGACGCGTCCCGATGTCTCTAATCGGGAGACTAAAATGATATCAATGGTTTTCAATATTAAGGACCGAGTTCTTGTATACTAGCTCACATCAATTACTTGTGAAGCTCAATCAGTCATTTCGATGGGCTCATGTCATTCGTTATTAGTCTTGACATTACAAAGGCTTTTGATCAGTGGTGGTGTGCAGCTTTTCTATGCAAATTTGTAACCAATCTACATCCTACAAACCTTTTATTTAAAGTCACACACGCACGGAGTTACCTCATCCATGTCGTTTGAAGAAGTTTACGCCTCAAGCGTATCTCACCTCGATGGGCCATCGATGATCTGGCACTTTTCCACCGACACGCCAACGGACTTTGCTCCGTAAAGTGGAGCAATCTGCCAAAAAAGGCTTTCTCTAGCACAACTTTAATTGGTTACAAAATAGAATTATATGGAATAGAGGTATTTTCCATCTCTTTCGCGTTACGTGTAGATATCAAGCAAGCAATAAATTCCTTATCAGCATAAAAAATTATTTAGTGTAGCCAGGACTTCAAAAAAATATAATGAAAATTTTGCTGTGGTCAATTGAAATACCTGTTCAAATCGGTCTGGATTCGATTTGCCTGGAGCGAAGTGTATATACTGGGGGCAGCAATAAAAATATCATCGGTCAGATAGTGAAATATAGGCGTGATCTCTATAGTGAAATCTGTGTTATGTGAAGTCAAGTGAGGTCTGAAACATATGCAAATATTTCGCTGTCTTCCTTTTTCAGATTAAAAGAGCAATGTCAGTTTTGAAATTCAAATTGTTCCGAACTTCATATCGACTGTTATTTTCCGGTTATTTTTAACACGCTTATATTAGCTCTTTTTGACCACACCTCCTGTCCCTTACAGCATTGCTGTCCTGTCCCTCCTGGGTAACTCAGACCGCGGTGTTGTGGTGGTTAGGTTGCGGCCAGAACCCGCTGTGGCAGCAGAAACTCGTACAGGCCGCAAAACTTGGCATTACGGACATGCCGACTGGGAGGGGCTCAGAGACTTCTTCTCTAGCTGTCCTTGGAGAGATGTCTGTTTCGTTGACGCAGATGCGTCGGCTGTCTGTTCTTCGATAAGCGAAATTATCCACTTCGCAATGGAGGAATACATCACACAGTGAAAGTGTCTAAACCAGGGTCCAACGGCTGCTTTAACAAATCGTGTGACACTGCTCGCCAGCAGAAGATCAAGGCACACAGAACCTTTTTACAAAACCCCACTGTAGAGAACAGACAAGCTGACGTCGAGTCTCAAAGGCCAAGGCGGAAGTGCTAGTCAAGATCTTTGTTGCCAACTCCACCAACGCCCAAGTGCCGACAATTCAAAGGGTTCCTACACTATGCGGAAGGTAACATGCAGGCATAATACCGTAAGACGAGTGCTCTTTTCGCTCGACATCAACAAAGCTTCTGGTCCGGACTTGATTCCTGCCATTGTACTGAAGAGGTGTGCAGCGGAGCTTGCTCCAGTGTTTTCGCGTGTCTTCCAGATATCTTATGAATCCGGTACCTTCCCAGAAAACTGGAAATTTGCTCATATCCAACCCATCCCAAAAAAGGATCTAAGAGCGACCCTTGCAAATACAGGCCTACAGCTCTGCTTTCTGTTATAAGTAAGGTGATGGAGAGGTGTATAAATCGCCAGGTTCTGGACTACCTCGAAAGTCACAGCCTGATTAGCGACAGGCAGTATGTTTTCCGGCACCAACGATCCACAGGGGACCTCCTAGCCTACGTCACGCAATTGTGGAGTAAACTCATCCAGTCCTATGGTGAGGCTCATGTCGTGGCTCTTGACATCACGAAAGCATTCGATCAGCTGTGGCACGCCGCCCTCTTAAGCAAACTTCCATCCTATGGCCTTCCAGAAAAGCTTTGCAGAAGGGTGGCTGACTTTATCTCTGGCCGCAAGATATCTGTCGTAATTGACGGGTTCTCCTCTTCATCCCACAACGTCAACGCGGGTGTTCCCCAGGGATCGGTCCTGGCTCCGACACTGTTTCTCTTACATATCAATGACATCCTTTCCTGCACGATCAACCCAATCCACAGCTTCGCTGATGACAACACTCTACATGCAGGAATTCAGAGTGACAAGCCGATCTCTGCCGCTGAGCTGGAAAGAAGAAGACTAGCAACGACTTTCTCTCTGACAAGAGACCTGCAGGCTATCACTGCTTGGGGACGGAACAATCTTGTACAGTTCAATGCTGTCAAAACACAGTACTGCACTTTGACGAATAACAAGCGTCCTAGTGCTTATCCGGTTTCGATGGATGGCCGAGTTTTGCCAAAGAGCCATTCCTTTCGGCTGGTTGGAGTCCAGATCACCGAGGACCTGATCTGGCACGAACTCATCTCGTCAATAGCAGCAGCTGCTGGGAAAAAGCTAGACTGTTTGTTTAGGGCTAAGAAGTATTTTTCTCCGCATGACCTTCTCACTCTATACAAGGACCAGATAAGGCCTAGCCTCGAGTATTGATCACACTTTTTGGGTGCTAGCGCCCCGACTACATTGTCCATGCTCGATGCTGTCCAGAGGAGGGCGGTCCGACTGCTCGACGACTCTTCTCTAACAGACAGTCTCGGGACCCTTTCACACCGGCGGGCCGTCGGCGATCTAGCTCTTTTCTACAGCTACACTAACGGGCTTTGCTCCTCAGAGCTCTTCCATGATGCCGCCGCGAGACGTGCCTGCCAGACAGACCCGTCTGGCTTTGGCGTTACATCCTAACCATGTCGAAATTCGTACATCCAGAACTGGCCGATACGACTGCTCCTTTGTCCCGAGGGTGTCGAGATTGTAGAACAATCTACAAGAGGAAGCTTTTCCCAGTTCAACTAATCTGAGGCAGTTCAAAAATCGTATTAACAAAATTTCTTTGAGATCGTCATAGCAGCCGCGGTGTTCCGGCAATTAGGCTTCTGCCTGCGCGGCTGCTTCGATATAAAAAAAGAATAATTCAATTCAGGGTAAAAAGAATGGGGTGCATTATACTACATTTTCATAACTCTCCTTTCATAGATAGTTGCCAATAGAATGTTTGTAACATTTTATACCCCCACGCTTTTATCCCTGAATTGAATTATTCTGTAAATAGCTTAAATTTTATCATATTAATTATGATTGATTGTTGGACCACCTACTCCTGAAATATAAACTCTTCGTAATTAAAAATTATTTTCTAATTTTTAGTTCGGTTAGCTATAAAAGCATGTTTTTTAGTTTTTCTAAACTATTATTTATTATATTGTAGGTGACCAGCATAAGTATAACTGTCCGATATCCGCTGGAGGGCGTTGTCATCGCGCATCAAGCGAGTACACTGCCAAGTAATACTTAACCTTTAAGCATCAATTTCGACCGTCTAGCAACTGAACTTAAGCCTTGTGTTACACTAGTCACACTACGCTAATTTAGTAGCAGCTGAAAAAGTATGAACTTGAAAGCAATCGATTTTCTCGTTCATTGTCCAGAAAAGATTTCTCGCAAAGTAACCTGCTCATGTTTTACTTTTGTATTACATTCTGTCTTGAACTCTGGCTGATATGCAAGCTGGAGGAACTACTTTATCTATTCTTGATAGTATTCAGATGTCAACAACTGAACAGTGCAAATTTTCGGAGATACTTTTTTCGACACACAATCTTTTTTATTTCGATGAGTCGTCAAAATCTAAGAGCTGGCAAAATATGTCAATGGATTTTATCTTTATATTATCGCTATTCAGTCCCAGCCTTCCTGACTGCCTAGGTCCTAGATACTACGTTAATAAGAAAACGTCTAGAACTTCTATGCACTCTGATTGTGCATCAAAATCACCGCAAATAGAAGATTATATGATTATAAGGCAATGTTAGATTCATGCATCAAGTATTACTTGCTGTATTCAAAGCGGTATCGATCATTGGGTTGTCTCAGTTAAAGGAAAAGGTGAAAGCCCATAGCAGGTTAAAAAATGGTGAATGTGCCTGTTAGATTAATACGAATAAAAACAGATTTACTGACAGTAGTGCAACCTTAGTTGTTAGAGATAAGCCTCCAAATCCTGTCTTTTCGGCTCATTTTTTCCCAGATCCGGTATTAGATTTCTCATTACTCACTACCTCCATGTCAAGAACCCGTGTTACAATTTCAAAACACCATAGGAAACCGTTGTGTCGTAATTTTGGCATCTATCAAACGTAGAAAAGCGCACGACACTGTTTCCTCGTTATAAATACAAATTACACACCCGCAAATAGTGAAGCATGTTCAAACATTAAAATGCGTTCCATATTGTAAAATCACGCAAATGGCTTTTTATGAAGTACGTCGGAATCGATAATATATACAACATGCAGGGTAAAAATAGGAAAATCCTGCTCTGTCTCGAATGCAAATACACTTTATTTCGGAGTTATAATTGCTACTACCACTGGAATAATACAGCAATTCAACAAAGTCTATGATCGAGACAAAGAAACACTTTTCGCGGATACGACAATAAATCAATGTCATCAGATAAGAGTCATAAAAAATTGTGAAAAGCCGCAATCGCCTGGTACCTTGGAATACATTAGGAGGACAATAATTACTTGAGGCTCTTCTCAGAAGTTCAATTTCACTAGTTCTCGCCAACGGTGAGTTACAAAGTGGGGCGGGAATTTTATGAAAATGAAGGATGGATCTAACACAACCATCTCGTGATTGCTTTTTCTACGCAAACGCTCACGAAACGAAGGCTTGATTACAAATCGCCACAACCTCTGCAAAAAAGTTATTGCGAGTTTTGAAGAAGATAATGAACCATACATGTTTGATGTTGTTTTTATGCGTGACATTCTGATACAATCAGATCACATAAAACTTTGCCTACTTTTATGAATCCACGACACAAATACATTTTATCAAAAACTATCTGTTGGAAAGGGTTGAAGTATTACCATCAACAAGTTGGATCCGGCTCTAGGGAGACCTTTGAGGAACAAATATATTTTCAAAAGGTATTCTTTGGTAGAAGTGTCAGTCAAAAATATGCAAAAAACCCTATATTTGAACTGAAATTAAATGTTTTGCGGGAGACTGTCTTTTTTTTATACTCCAACTACCACGAAGGCCTAAGGCCTAAACACCCATTGGGTACCGTGGGGCTATAGGGGGATACAGGGGAAAGGGGAGACGCCACACGGACTCTGGCGAGGGAACACGTGTGCATGCAACATGCACACATTCTGGCTCCGCCTACGATATCCGCCGGGTGGTACCTCCACGTTCGACAATCAGAGACCATCTACCACCTACGGACAATCACAACATCCATAGCCAAGAGAAAAATTTCTCCTGGGACGGGACTCGAACCCGCACAGCGCACGACGACTGATCAGGAGACCGAAGAGTCTACTACTGCGGCTGCCGCTGCTGCCTCACTCGTTGAATCGGTCGTGATTGGCCTCCTAGATCACCAGAAATGACACCGATGGACTTCTTTCTATGGGGCTACGTTAAGCAAGAGGTTTATAGATATCCATCATCTATCCCAGAAAATATGAAGGAAAGGATTAAGGATGCTCTATAGACAAGTTTAGTTTAACCCCTTTTTCTATTATTTAACTATGATATAAAGTGAATTTGGCTCATTGGCCTATCAGGATAGCCTACCATATACAAGGTTATTTCGTGCATGTTATGGAAGCTCATGGGGACAAGTTCCGTTGGCATCTTGTTAAAAAATGAACGAAATCACCGATCATTCATCGACAAGTAGTTGGTCTTAATTGGGGATTAAAGGAACGCTGGCCCATATGATATGTACGTACTGAAGCTGCATATAACACTATCGGTCTGCTTACTAACTAAGCCCAGTATCCGATAACAAAACACATTGAACTTTGTTTAAGAGAAAACGGTTACATAGTATCCACAGAACTTTTTCAAGCAGCTATATAAGCTTTTTGTTTTCAAAAGGTTCGAGCCCCATAAATGCGTATTACTTATAGAAAATTTTGGTGGGCAGTTAACATGTTTTAGAATAGAAAAATAGTACCTACTTTCTCGTAAAACAGCATCGCTATAGCTCGGAAATATGTCTACCAGTTGCATACAGATTATTCTGCTAAAACTACCACTTAAGTAAGTAAAAGCTAAATCAATTTCATTACACAATGTCTACGTTATTAATATCCTCTAATGGTGTTACGAGGATACTGGTATGAATATAAATACCTCAGATACGATACATACGTTGAGAGCAAACTACATTACATCATCTACAACACGTTTAACTTCACATAAGCCACTGACTATTCTGTGAGAATGTCTTAGAGCTTTAAAATGTCTTGAATTAAACGATTTGTGCAATCTACTCTAGATACTTCTAAGAATACGAATCTAAAGTTTCTTCTTACTGGCAAAAGCCTGGGAATCTGTTATTCAAAGTGCTGTTACAAGCATTTCAATTATTGGAGGCATAATTTCACCAGGCTAATCATGTTTAAAACATTTAAAATTGGTCTTTTGCTTCAAATGATCTTTGAAAACTTTGTATTTAGAGTGCTTAAACTTCTTATCTTTCATCTCGATAAGGTTAGAAATATCTATTCTGGATGCAGTTCAGCTTAGACGTTAGGTCATTTTCATGATAAAGATGAAGGTTTAAAGAACAAAATTGAAAAAACGAAGTTTGTATCTGGGTATTGTTGTCAGCTGCCCGAGGTATCTATCAGTACGACTAATACAATGACCTAAGAGCTAAAGTTCCTGACTTGATCAGGAACTACACGCACAAGTACCTATATTAAGCATCTGATATAAAGCCTCTCAAATGTTTGCTTATTTTAGGCATAGTCACAGTATCGTCTTATATGGGTTCTGAAAATTATGAGCTTTGAATAGCACAGTACCAGAAAAACCATTTTGAAGAAACTTTGGACTTGGACAAAACCACACGTACTAAGTACTGTTCACTCTAGAGCAAAAAGACACGATTCGGTTCGAAACTCACATGACCCCCACTTACTCCTCCTTCTTGGACTCCTTGGCAGGCGACTCATGCGACGAAATGCTGAGCACCTCCTCCATTTTTTCCTTAACCGTTTCCACACTGTCACCGAGCATGTCAAAATGTTCGTTCACATTGTCCTCCAAATCGTGCAGTTTTTCCGAAACGTCCTCTTTCACTTCAGTCACTTTACTTTCAAGGTCACTCCCTACTGAATGGACCGTCTCGAAGACCGGTGCAGCCTTGGAACTGAAGGCTTCCTTGGCGCTTTCCGTCTCCGAAGCCACGACGGTCTCCGCGTCCGATATGGCTTCCGCAGCCGTATCAGTCACATTTTGTACGACTTCGTCCTTTTTAGATTCGAGGTCTTCCACGGCGTCCTTTGCTGCGTTGTGCGTGAAGTTGAAGGTATCGCCGATTTTGTCCATTACGGTTTCTACCCCGCTTTCCACCGTAGTGGCTGCGTTGCTCATGGTTTCCTTCACGGTTTCCATGCCGGACTGGAGGCTGTCTTTTGCTGATTCTCCCACATCTGAAATAAAAAACAGCTTAATTACATGAAGGTGATGTTTTCTATAACCCACTGTGAAGAATGGAGTAGAATGTTGGAGCATAGAGAAGAGAAAAACTGAATTAAGTGTTTCAATTTGATTTATATAATAATTATTAGAGATACTTTGCAGTGCTGAGATTTTCCAGGGTTATGGGGATTTCAGGAAATGAGTCTCCATTGGTTGGGGAACCTAGCGCTTAGTGTATACAAATATATAAAATCCAAAAATGCAAGATCGACGATGTAAGTTATGTCCTAAAAATAGAAATTAGGAATACTTTGTACGATATGAGAAGTTTAAGTTTAGTTAAAAGCTGATACAAGCGTTACAAGAGCCATCTTTAGTAAACATGGATGATGCCTCAATTGAAGCAGTGGTTGCAAGGCAAAACGATACATTTTGATGATGACTCCTTTAAACTCGAGCTTTTAAATCTATGTCGCCTTAATAAACCACCGGCACCAAGATATATCATAGACGAAATATTACATGAACATGGACATCAAGTTTTGCGGCTCCCCCCTTACCATTGTCAATACAACCCTATTGAGTTAGTCTCAGGAATAGCTAAACAGAACTATGATCGTCATATTGGGGAAAATGGCTATGGTGACAAGGAAGTTTTGAAAGTTTGGGACGATGCTCTAGCGAAGGTCACTCCTACAGTTTGGGTCAAGTGTGTGAAACATACCGAGGACTTGATTAAAAACGACTGGGACCAGCATCAATTGTTTAAGGGAGGAGACTAATATATACTAAGTGACATATAAATCCGAACACCCAGCTTAAATGGTTTTATTTTAATAAAAGTTGGTGAATGTATTTATCTTACTGTAAATAACAAGTGAACAAATTTTTAGTCTTATCAGTTGGACATTCCGGTTTTTATACTGCTTTTTTTTAATTCACTAACGCTCTAAAATGAATATTTCAGCCGCAGTAAAGAATCAACGTTGGCGGATTTTGGTTCTTGACATCCTTTACGATCGGTTACGATGCCTAGAGTACGATTTCGTCAACTTAGTGAGTTTGATAGGCGCCGTATAGTGGGACTTCGGGAAGCTGGACTTTCTTTTCGGGCAATTGCAGTTAGAGTGCAAAGACGTGTAGACACTGTGGTTAGGTGTTGTCAGGCATGGCTTCGAGAAGGCCGTACGCAAAGAGCAAGGGACACTAGACGCCGCCGTAGAACAACAGACCGTGAAGATCGCCGCCTAAGATTATTGGCCTTAAGGGACCGTTTCTCCACTACCAGGTCCATTGCAAATGAATGGTTTGCAGAACACGGAAGACCTATTGGCATGCGAAGTGTTTACCGACGAATGAGAAGTTTTGGCTTGTTTTCATACCGGCCACACTGGGTCCTCCCTTTAAGTCGAGAACAGCGACGTAATCGCCTTGAGTGGTGCAGACAACGGTCACTCTGGGATCAGGAATGGAACAGTATTGTCTTTAGTGACGAGTCTCGATTTTGTTTAGGCATGCACGATGGTCGTGCCAGGGTTAGAAGGCGACGTGGTGAAAGGAGGAATCCACAGTTTTTTGTTGAAAGACATGTTCATCACACTGTTGGAGTTATGGTTTGGGGTGCTATAGCTTATGGTTCCAGGTCACCTTTAATCTTCATCAGAGGTAACATGAACGCGCAGCGTTATATCCACGAAGTTCTAGAACCCCATCTTTTACCCTATCTTGACACCCTGGCAGATCCAACTTTCCAACAAGATAATGCCCGACCACATGTTGCAAGAGTCACAATAGACTTCTTTCAACATAATGATGTTACATTGTTACCATGGCCACCAAGATCTCCCGACTTATCCCCAATTGAGCACGTATGGGATATGATGGGTAGGAGATTGCTCAATTTGCAACGTCCTCCTCAGACTCTAGAAGCACTTCGAGAGGAGTTGGTGGTTGCCTGGAATGAGATACCACAGGAGGACATTGACCACCTGATCAGAAGCATGCCTAGGCGCGTTGGAGAATGCGTAGCACATCAGGGTGCATCCACACAGTATTAAAGGTCAAAGGGCTTTAAAGCAGTGCAATCATTTTGAAATTTTTAGCATTTACTTATTATGCTTCATTAAGTACTTATACAAAATTTTATTAAAATAAAACCATTTAAACTGGGTGTTCGGATTTATATGTCATTTAGTATAATCATTCACTTGAGATAAAGTTCAGATGACTTTGATGAAGAAATCCAATAATTCATACTTTTATTGAAACAATTTTGAAAATTTATAATTCTTAATTTTCCATGTGCACCTTAACCTTAATGTAGATTGTTAAATATTTTGATAGATATGGAAGTTACAAGCTTGATGTTTATCAAGGCGACATAGATTTAAAAGCTCCAGTTTTAGAGCATCATCATTAAAATGTATTTTTTTGTCTAGCAGTAATTTATTTAGACGCATTTCACTCCAGGAAGAATCGAGCATTTTTATTATTGAAGATGGTTCTTCTAAAGCTCTCATAAGCTTTTCACATATCCACATACAATGTTAAATGTTCCATCAAGTTATCAAATAGATGTGTTATTTTCTAATATATTGTAAATTCCGTATGTAAGTATCTTTTATTCCAACTTTAAAAAGCATCAAACTGCGTGTCATACTCTACCCATGTTTATATACTTGATTAGAAGATTTTGGAGAATTACGTTTAGTGAATAATTTTGATTCAGTTTCTCTCAGTTAGGAAAATTAAGATCCGCCCATGGTACGGAGACTCGATCTGTTTACTTATTTCGTATGGCGTTGATGACCTTACCGCCAAGAACGGTGACTGCAACTATATTATCATGCACTACAAAATTTTTAGGACCGCTTTCACCAATAATTTGAATATACGAGAAGAAAATTATCATAACAACTTTGACGTTTAATAAAAAAGTTTTCTATATCTCTCGACAAGGGGCCTTTCTGTATTCGCTCAAGAATATAATTCCGTTGTAAAACAACTTATTGCAATTTTTCGTTCATATTCTGGATATCCTGGTCTATAATGGAACTTGTAGTACCTCGATATTTAGTATCTACCCCGTAGTTGCTTCAATAGGAGAAATGATACAAAATGTTAATCCCGGGGATTTTACAAATAGTGTTTGATACAGGGTAAATGATATCGATCCATGAACTTGCAAATCATTCTTCATTTTCAAGAGTATCTTCGTGTTCAGCGACTTGCCGACTGACCTACGTATAAGGTTAATAAGATAGGGGAATGAGGTGTTACAGACACTTTAGCGCTTTGCATGTTACATGGTAATAACGTACATGTTCCTAGACAAAGGATTTTGACCTTTTGTTTACTGTCAAGCGAATGTTATAAATGCAGCATTTACAGAAGGGGAAACGGACCTATTTCTTAATATACCGTTTGATAATTTTGTTGATAAGCTAGATATATTGCTAAGGTTTCCTGTTATAAAAAACTAGAAACTAGTCTGACCGATATAAAAAATATGTTATGGCTGAAAGTTTAGCTGTTTACGATCAAACAGCTCACAAAATGCGATTTAGTTGTTTTATACCGGAGCTACTGCGGATTAAGCTCATATACCTAACAACCGCTACTGCTGTAAATAAGTTGGGGATATCTTGTTGACCTATCTCTTTGGTGACCTCGTGAACCGTGACCGTTAGGTTATTACATATAATTTTGTACTGCAATATCAAAAATCAACGTTCACAGCTGACTGACCCTGTGTTGGGGTAATATGTTTTCAAAAATGCCTGAATTTCGTTCACGACGCAATCAATTACATCTACAAGTTTTAAGTTTGAGGTGGCTAGAATTGAAAAGCTTCTTCTGATAGATTGTTTCTCGGACTGTTTCACATTCTCGAAACTCTAAAAACAACAGAGAAGTCGTACTTGACAATTCTTGATGCCTGTCGAGTTTAGTTAGCAGACTTCGTTTGCGGCGGCGGAGGGTAACTCCGCGGAGCAAATTCCGTTGATATATCATGGATCGTTCGTCGATGTTCTTGGGAGTTCCTATTAAGAAAGTGAAGTGAACCGATATGCTTAGCTTATCTGAGCGTTTTACATAATGAGAAGGTTATCTGAGCTTTGTAAAAAATAAGGAGGTTAGATTATTAAAAATACCTTCTAACTCTAAACTAATAGCTCGAATCATTTTTTCAGCCAAGCCGAGGAGAAGCGATTAGTTAATCGAATATATGAGTTGCGTTATAAGAATAAATTGGTACAATAACGAGCTGTTCTGCCTTTGTGTGTTGTTTCTTGTGAGATGTAACCTTAGCTTTAATGTGTTGTTTTGAATCGAGGCTTTTTTAAATTAATAATTCAATGACTATGTAAAAATAATGTACCTATATCTAATACTATACATTGCGATCTCGGAAATGGAAAGGGATACATAGTTGGTTAGATTAGAGAAATGTTTTTCATTAACACATATCAGGAAGCGACACCTAGAGAGTTTCATAATTTAAAGTGTAATAGAAAATAAATCGATAATTCCTGAAACCGTCATTCCTTTCTGACATATATACTGCTTCAGCAATAAAAGCATATCAGCTTGGCGGAATAAGACATTTACAATAAAAAAACTCTATTTGAAATAGAAATACAAAAACAGCTACACATTCGCACATTTATGAAGTGCCAGATTCCCTGAACAAAATTGTACCTTAAAATAAAGACTATTTGTAAAACAAACTAATCCTTATTTACCATAATAATACCATATTTTAGAGTAAAATTGACATATGAAAATGTCAAAATGACCGCTGGGCGATATCTTGAAAAAAAAGATTATATGAAAATGGGGGTCTTGTGGCACATCATGTTGAAGCTCCTGACGAGTACTTTATAAACCTAGAATATAAAGTCAATACCTTTACCTACTATAAAATGGTGGTATATTTAATAATTACTTGAACACAAACCACCTAACATGCATATCTCTACGAGTAATTGTAATTCCCTGCCGTATCCAC